TGTAAATTAGTTTCATATTAATATTTTATATATAGAGGTAATCCTATATTAATCCTGTTATGGTTTATATTCATCACCTTCTGGTATGATAAAGTGAGCATTAAAATCAACAAGGCAAAACGTCATCAGTCATCCTGATCAATTTTGCGGTCACATCACAATCAGTCCCTCATTTATAGAATGTTCACTTTGTTGCAGTCTGCCCCAAATAACTTAAGTCAATTTACCCGGATTTTAAAAGTTGCGTCACAAAGCTCAAGTTTGGCTGAAAAAAAAAACCTAATTTGAATTTTGGTCAACCTGGCATAAATCTATTGGATCATCGGCCAGCTAATTTGGTAGCACTGCAGATCTGTCAAAAAACGATACATTATAACCTATAAAGAAAAAAAAGCATTCTGCGTAACAATGCATCACAACATGTCCATTTAGAGTTAGTAGTAATTTTTCTTCCACGTGATAAATATCAACCTCCAATCGCGGTCTTCCAACGCATGAAAAAGCTTACATTACAACGCAATACCTAAACAATTCATTTCAACCCTATTCCAAAAATGCGATTATCATTCTATTCCATATGGTGCATTCTAAGCCTGCTAATATTATTTACGGAGCTTTTCTTATGCGGACAAGACTATTATGCGATTTTGGGTGTCAGCAAAGACGCAACAAGTAGAGAGATTAAGAAAAAATATAAACAATTATCAAAGAAATATCACCCTGACAAGAACCCTGGTGATAAAGAAGCTGAGCAGAAGTTTGTACAATTGGCCCAAGGTAAACAGTATAGCAGGAGTGATGATTGTTGACGAACTACCCGTCCTGACATTGATACGATAGAGTTTCTTAATCCGATGACTATGATCTGGCATTCACAAACCTCTTGATCGTCCTCGCAATATATCAAATAGCTTATGAAGTATTATCAGATGATGAGCAACGTGCAACGTATGATCGATATGGTGAAGAAGGACTCAAAGGGAACGCCCAAGAATTTCATAATCCATTTGACATATTCGAAAGATTTTTTGGTGGAGGTCGTCACTCTCGCACTGATCCTGAAGAAACAAAAGGACCTCCTATAAAGCATGACGTGGACGTCCAATTAAAAGAATTGTATCTCGGGAAAGACATTAATGTTGATGTGTCGAAGCAGACTCTATGCACACATTGTGGTGGAAATGGTGCCAGATCGGCTGATGATATAGTGATCTGTTCAGCTTGCGGCGGACGTGGGGTTAAGCTAGTTACTCAAAAAATGGGAGGAGGTGGTATCCTACAAATGCAAACAACGTGAGACAATTTGCCATTATTTTCTTTTTTTGTCTATGATTTCATAGCTAAATTGCATATTTAATCATCAGATGTGATGTGTGTGAAGGAAGAGGGAAAACCATAAAAGCAAAATGCCCTCATTGTAAAGGAAAAAAAGTTCAACGGATGAACGAAGTGCTCACAATCGTCGTCGAGAAGGGAATGTCTGATGGAGAGGAAATTGTATGTGACTGTCACAAAGTTCCTTGGTGATTTATAAATACCTGATCTGGCGATCCATTATGGCTAATTATTGAACGTTTATTCGATCTTAGACAATGGAAAAGGAAGGGGATGAAGCACCAGAAACTGTCCCAGGGGATATAATATTTACATTAAGGATGGTGCCCGATCCTGTATTCACTCGTAAAGGAGATGATCTGTATACTGAGAAAACGATCACATTGTTAGAGGTAATATGCCCATTTGCTTGAAAACCCGTTTATCCTTCTTTATTTTATATTTTGGATACCAGTTAGTATGACGAAACTTACCCACTTGTGTATGCAATTCGCAGTCATTGGTAGGATTTGAATCATATATCACACATCTAGATGGAAGGAAAATACATGTACGACGGAATGCAGTCACTCCCTGTGATTTCGTGGAAAAATTAAAAGGCGAAGGGATGCCTAAACGTAAGAGCAAGAATCAGAAGGGTGATTTATATATCCAATTTTCTGTGGATTTTCCAAAAGCCGTGAATGCAACTGTCAAAGAAGGTATGTTTGTCCTTTATTATATATACACGTTAATTACACCAAACCGACGATCCAGTTTATTAAAATGTGTATACAATTTATGTATTTTTTAGAATTAAAAAAATATTTTAAACCAAGCGAACATATGAAAGAAAAAAAACATGACGAATTATAAACAAAAAATTGTATGTGCCAATAGATGTGTCATGTCATATGGTTCAAGTTAATGGTAGCAATTAACTTAGTAAACACACAGATTAGATCAAAAACGTGAGTATCCGCTCACTTTATCGTTTAATATTATATGTATGTATATGTATGTAATAGTTGTTAAGATTTATTTAAGGAAACGTTTTTTATTAAAGCGAAATTAAATAAAAGAAAATTCACAAGTTATTATGTCTTGCTCCGCATAGATATTCTGGCACCCGTGTCATCCGTATCATCTGCGTCATCCATGTCTTCCATGCCTTCCATGCCAGTCGTGTCTTCCATGCTATTTGTGTCTTCCATGCCATTCGTGTCTTCCATGCCATTCGTGTCTTCCATGCCATCCGTATCACCTGTGTCATGCGTTTCATCGGTTCCAGCCGTTTGTGTCGTTATCTCCATTTTCAGCAACAGCTAGATCAGGGACTTTCGAGTTCATCCATGAAAGTGCCTTACTATTGCGTCTCTTTTGTGCATATGCATATAAACCAAGACCTTCAGATGTGTGTGCCTGTGGGTTGGCATTCCGATCCATTAGCGCTTGTAATATCTCCTGCGGCCAATTCCTATGAACAGCGATAAACAAGCAGTTCGGATAATACATCCCGGAATCACGTCTGGTGGCTAAATTAGGATTAGCCTTGTTCGACAGTAACGTCGTAACGATTTCCAGGTTTTCGACATGATATTGTCTATACTCGAAATTGAGTATACGGTGCAGGGGTGTATACCCCAATAGATCAGGAATATTAGGGTCTGCGCCAAACCGAAGCAATGCATCAACAGCTTGGGGGATCTCCTTTTCCACAAACCAGGAGAGCGCAGTGCGTCCATGCTTATTCTGGGCATTTACATCAATGCCCTCCGCTATTAGCCATTCAATAGCCAGCTTCATATAGTCTTGCGTGTTGGTGGAATTCCTGGCACTAGCTGAACTCCTCACTAGACTGCTATTTTCCGCTAGCCAATGTAGAGCTGTATTGTTCTTTTCGTCTTGTATTGCTATAACCCCATTATAATGTTTGATCACCTTTAAGACATCCAAGATTCGCCGAGACGGGCAGAATCTTGCGGTTAAAATTACAAGAGGACAAAATTGACCGTTAAATCGATAGTTGCCATCGACATCTTCGTTCTGATCGAGGTGGTAGCGTAAGCCGGAGGCATCCCCAAATCCGGCATGAAGACCAGCACGACAACGGCCCACTGCTGTATTGTCACGGAACTGGCTCGAATACACTTCGAGTGTTTTATCACAACTATAGACAATGGGGATGTTTTCCTAATAACATATACATATAAATTAATTCCTTTTTTACTTTTAACCTTATTATATTCACACAAACAATACTAAACACTCACTGCGGACTCTGAATCTGGTTGTGATGATGAATCGGAAGAATCAGTTGAATGCCGTTCATCAGAGCTAAAATGCCTCTGACTTGGTTTCCTCACAAGCGGCCCAGGGATTTCCAGCAAGTCATCATCTGTGGGCGAGCAACAATATGTGGATGTTAATATTCTTGTCATCAATTAGTAATCGAAAGATTCTGTATATAAAACGTCCTTATGCTTACCAACTTTCAGAATAGCGTATTTATTAACGCTATCGATGACAGGTTCAAGTTCGATCAATGCTTGTAGCACCTCTGCTGCGGATGGACGTTTTGTTGGATTGATCTGCCAGCACTCTTGGAAGAGATGCGCATATGCCATTGGCGTGCCTTTTAATGGCAATTCACGTTCGCCCTTTATGAGCTTATTCATCTTATGGAAAAAGATATATCATTAGTGTGTAATCGATAAACTCGTTCAAAGCGACCCAGTTTATTTTGGGTTTTGATTATTGGCGATCACAATAATGATACGTCATGTGTAACTAACAAAGTGTGTGCAGAAGAAGGAGGAGAAAGAGAAAGAGAGTTGGACTTTTCAACGTACAAGTTCATGAGCCGATCTGGTGTTTAAATTGGGCTGGCGCCCACTTGAAAGTTCCCACATCAAAACACCCAGACTATATATGTCTGATGCCCGAGTGCGACTAAATGAATTATTCTCCAACCAAGAGGGATCAGCATAAGCCACCATTCCTCCTTGTATCGAGCTTGAAGTTTCTTCGGCTATTTTGGCCAGTCCGTAGTCTGCCACAATGATTTTGTCGTTATGTAGCAACACATTTTTGGAATGCTGATGATGGGAACGATAAAATGATGTCAGACAACCGACCGTTTAAATCCCATTTTGAATATAAACATTAAAAAATATATACCAAATCTCGATGCAATATTCCTGCACCATGAATAGAGACCAAAGCCATGGTAATCTCCTTGGCTAACCTTATTTTCGTTTGCCAAGTCAAGGTATCAAAATTCTGAGAGAGATATTCTCTAAGCGTCCCACCAGAAGCATATTGCAATACAATATAATATCTGCCCTTTTTCTCATCTAAGATATAAAGATATGATTAATCATAATTTCGTATCATAATTGATCTCAATTGCTCACATACCTTTTGTGATGCCGTAAAATTTTACGACATGGTCGCAGTAATCAACGGCTCGAATTAATTTGAGCTAAAGAGAAAAAAGACAGTTTATATTGAGAATCATAACAGCAAAAGTTCTTACTCAATTCAACACCTTTCATAAATCGGATTCGAATTCATACTAAAAAAACGCCCTCTTTACTGGAACTAATTACATGCATTGACTCAAGCTTCAGCCCTTACCTCTCTGACAAGCTCATTAATTGCAAGCTCGTCGTCATGAAGAGCGTAGCTACACTTCAATGCCACCTCCTTGCCTGCTTGTTTCCAGGTGGCTTTAAATATGTTGGCGAACCCTCCTCTGCCAAGCAAACTAAGATTCTCAAATTGGCCGAACGGAATCTCGCGAATATAACCTCCTTTGATCCCAGTTTCCAGCCATTCACGGTTAGAAGTAGTTGGTGAGTCGGGAGGTTCTGTAATCGGTTGAGCTCCGCGCGATATCATTGTGACATTTTTTCCCCAGCGGTTAGCTTCTTGAGCTATTTTAAAGCACAGGTCAGGTGGCTTGCTGATACAATGTATCAATGTATCACATAAATCATTCATGTGACTATTGATTGTTGTAACATTATGTGGAAATGAGTAAAGACGCGAATAGAACTTTGTGGCATTGATTGTATTGGCAATACATATTATAAATGACTAGCGCCAACACACGAAATGGAAATGCCATTTAACCCCTATAATATAAGGACAATTATGCCATGAGCACGTAATCGCCACGTTTCCAACGATGAATGAATCATGCATTTACTTGTCCTTTTCAAATGTGTTGTTCTAACAAAAACAGTGTACATCTATATCAACAATTACATTGGTAACACGTTCCACTTCTCTATTTTGTTATCGTATGCCACCATTGACCATTAATCATAATCTACTTAGTTCCTTGCTCTACGTCCTTTTTTATTCCTAGATCTCACCCGCCGTTTTGGTTCACTTTGAGAACTCTGCTCATCATCACTCGAAAACGACTCTCCACCCTCGTTAGTGCTATCATTTTCCTTAACGTCTTCCATCTTCTTTTCGTTCTTCCGAAAAGCTTTACCCACGGTAATCGTGAATAGCCATTTGAATATTGCGAATATGAAGACGTCAAATACTCTCGGTTTGGAGACGTCATTCTCGTCCAACCTGACTTGTCCATTTTCATTCGAAAGCGCGACATAATCCGGGTATACGTAAAACTGAACATCATTCACTGTCACTCTTTTCGTCGTCATTTGTTTCTTCATGGTCTTGCCCCATGCAATCTCTCTTGATCTATGGATGTAATATCGAATCCGTTTCTTATCCTGTACGAAAGTGATCCAGAATACTATGTATTGGACTATGGAAATTAAGATAGCGAGAAAAGTCAACACCGCTAACAATCCTGGCCGATATCGACTGTAATAATATCCGGTTCCGCGCCATCGAGGAACACCGTTTTTCAAAAACCAATCGTATCGTTCTCTCGACTCTGGATTACGAAGAATGTTTGCAATCAAACCAAGTCGAGCAAACTTTTCATTGCTTCTGGCATCAGGATTCTTGTCTGGACTGTATATTTACGATGTAGATAGTGCACATATTGTCGATACAAGTGTGACATATTAGTCGATTATCCGAACGTAGCCAACTGTAAAGCAACAAATAATATTAAAACATACTGTAGCTGCAAATATAGTTTTCGGTAAGTTTTGGTGATTTCTTTTTCGGTTGCTGTTGGCTCTAGTCCGAGCCATGAGTAAAAGGTCGTTTTTTCCCCCTCTTCTGTTCTTAGTTCATCAACAAGATCAAATATTTCATAATCGTCTATGGGAACAATATTTGGTTAGATTAAAATTACCCGGATCAGATCATATAGATGAAAGCTTCTTAACTCCTTTACAACCTTTTGTCCATTCTGACCATGCTATAGCTTTGGGTAGTATAACTAGACAAAGTAGTAACCAGATTATAATATGCCACTTCATCGTCAAGCGAAAAGAGATTTTTGATAAGCGTCTATTTTTTGTCTATTTTCTTAATACTGCGCATGCTGTTGCCCAAGGCAACAGAAATATTCACTTGATAAATCCACGAAAATACTTTATGACTACAAGACAGTATAAGTAGCGGTGTTAGACTAATAAGGCTTCGAAATAATTCATGGATTGGGTGTATACATTTTGTTCGATGGGAAGTAACACAAACACATTTTATTGGCCAATCGTATCATTCTCTTGATTACAAAGAATGCTCGAGAGCAACAAATCTTTGTCCGTACTGTAGGTACATGTTATAAAGTAAATGTATAACGTACGTATGCTGTCGATAAAAAACGCGCAAGAAGACAGCATACATGTTGTAGCTCGTTACCGCGAACGAAATATACCATTAATCTATTGGGAAGGTATACTAATATTGCTAAATTCTTTACCGATATTACTGTCTTAAACTCTGCAGATTTTGTCTATTATATTATTGTATAGTAAAACTAAACCAACCAGCTATTTCATTAATCGATTTTGATTGCCAGTTAAGGCTGCAGAACATTTCACTAGACTATTTACAAAATGCTCCATTACTATTTCTATAATAAAGTTTAAATTAATTTTACAATCTTCACGAGCTATTCTATCCTATTGTATACCAAACAATACCAATTCGATATAATAGAATCTTCTATATCCAAATTTGTTTTTATTTTGTATAACGCGATTATCAATCATGTGATTTTGTTAAAATTTTTAAATACGAGTCAAATAGTGCGTTAGACATAAAACATGGAACAAGAGCGAGCAAATAATTTAAAGGAGAAATTATCAAGGTGCTTTGCTCCCGGAAAGAAGAACATTACTATAGAATCATGCTCATTCGAAAAAAACTGCTTGTAATAATCTTAAATTTCAAACATAATAACTTTCAGACAATCCAATCGTCAAGCCATACGGAATCACGACATTTTGTTTGGAATCACAAACGCCCATAAATAATAACATTAGAAAACTCGAGCAATTAGGCAAGGACTTTGGCAGCAAGTTATCTTCGGATGCCTCCTGTTTAACAATAGGAAATGGGTTCCTAATTTGCGTTATTTGCGGTCGCGTAATATGTACTTTTTTAATCCTAATTATCGTCTTATTTTAAGTACACGCCAATTCATATGGACAATAAAGACTTAAATTTTAAAATCAAAAATGGGTCCGTTTTTATTAAAACAATTACTGAGGGCTTTTCTATTTCGTCTTAAGTTATAGATTCTCACGTTCCAAAAAGGAAATAATTATCTTGGGCCAAGAAAGACGTCTCGGAGAAGAGAGAAAAAAAAATAACTAAAAAGTACTGAAAGCGATTGTTACTCTCGATCCATGTCACCACTTATGGATCGTGGAATATATCATTCATGGTGCCTGGTTCCTACTGCAAAAATTTACGACTGTATAGGCTAGTTCTTCATGTGAACACGTGATATTACTTTAACACCTTCGATCAACACTTTGCATTTTTCGATCATACATTTTTGGTTCCGCGCCACCTGTCACCCCAACTCGTTCATATTCTACTTGCTTTAATGCACGACATTCAAGGCAACAGTGGATCTAACGCAGATGATAATGATTCAAGCTCAAATTCAGAAAGAACAGACACCCAAACAGCGGTAGTTAATAAGATCCAAGTTGAAGCGGATGATGACGATAATCCGTTTCTTGGTTCAAGGGGACCATCGAGATATAGAGCGCTCAGCAGAGCGTTTGAAGCACGAATGGATATGGCACACGTGTCGTGAGTTAATTATTCATGATGAATATCCTATCGATCGATTTTGGTTAATAACAATTCTATTTTTAGACGAGGTGTCCGTTGGCCAATACCGCCAGATTATTACGATGAAGACGAAGAAAGGTCGTTAACCAAAATTTTAATATTCATTGATAATAGATAATGTAACTTAATAAGAAATCTCTATTGTTACAAATCTAGTTACGGGCGGAATCCAATAAGGCCTAGAAGCATACTAAGTGATCTGCGTGACGTTCAATCACCACAGCCTGAACAGGGCGATGAGGAAGCCCCGGAGCCGATAATAAACTCTAAAGATCTAGAATCAGAAAAACATTCCAACAACAGTGAGCAACTTTTGGATGAGAGTAATAACCCCTTTTTAGACGATGAGGACGACGATTCCAGCTATGATTACGAGAATGATGAAATGCTTGTGGCCGCTCAACATGCGCGTGGATTGAGTGCAAAACAAGATATGGCTACTCTCAGGTGGTGCCTCGGGCTGGCGATCGGAAATAATGAACATTTCCGTTGAGTTAACCGATATGATCTATATTTTTATAGACTTGGTGTCAGAATACCGATACCGTCAAATTATTATGATAGGGTCTATGACGAAGACGAGGAGGATGGAGAAGCATGGTAATTTTTGGTCAAAGATAAGGGGATTTCAATATTAACGAGTACGGATAAGAGCAGAACTAATATTTTGTAAAATACTTGATTCAGGGATATGTCAATACAGCCGAGAAATCTATTACACGTGTTGCTAAACGAACGGAGAAACCAATCGGGAATAGCAGGCTCACCAGAAAAACCAAAAGAAGAAGAAGAAGAAGAAGCAGAAGAAGAAGAGATAGCGACATCTTTATTAGGCACACAAGATGCAGCTACCCACAACTCTCCTGCAAAATCAACTGCCCAGGCATTGTTTTATGTCGATGACAAGGATGAGCTCGTTGTTGATAAACGAGAAAATACGCAGAGAACTGATGTGACGCCATTAAATCGAGACATACCTTATCACCTAAGTGATTTATTTACGCCACCGCAGAATTTAAACGCGAGCTATTCTTTACCATCATACAAAACAGAATCGACCAGGGAAGTGACAAAATTTGTCGAAGGAAGCGCGCAAGCCGATTATGCGTCGACGGGAAATCTGTAATCAAACATGTCCGTCTAAATGGCTATTTTTTTTTTCGCACAAACAGGAGTCCTACGCAGCCTGAGGATTATGATAGCGAAGATGCTGATAACTTTTCCGACGTTAGCAATATTAACGAAAACGAGGAGCCGCCTTCGTTCCATAATGAGCTGGCTGACGGAAAAGCAGAAGATTTCGTTGATGTCAACGAAGAGACTATCAGTGACGAAATGTCGGAATACACCCTCTCAACTGACAACACGTTTGTATCAATTCATGTACCTTTGCACAGTAGTATTGGTTCTACAATATTTTTACTCTTGTCACGTAGCAGGTCGGAAGAAGAGAACGCTAGTCCGGCCAACCTATCAACACCGGGGAGAGCGCCTTCTTTGGACAATACGATACGAGATCAGAACGAAATGGTGACCCCTAAAACGTTAGATAAAGACGAGATGCCGCCCGAAATGTCAGTGTCATTAAAACACTCAATAACACACGAGGATTCAGGGTATGAAAGGCAACTAATGTTTTGATATTGATACACGACAATTATTGACGATTACTTGCAACTCATACGCAGCGGTAGAAGGAAAAGACGACGTACGGACGGAGCGATAACGGATGCTGGGTGTTTTCTGTCCGTAAGTCTCTTATAGACGCTCTTTATATGTAGGATGGAGCATGCTGGTTGTTAACTTTGATGCTTGTTTATTTTTCACAGACGAGCGAATGCAAGCATATAACGGATTATGGAAAAACCTGTAAATCGCATGATCGTACAAGAACGGGGAAGAAAGAAGGAAACTGAACCGTAAATAATAATTTTGTAGATACTCTATCATTTTGTATATTCTCATTTGTTAACAATATGTGATGACATACATCATTTTATCATATAAAAGTCCATCATTGAACATAAATTTTGTTTAGACGATAATTCGATAGCAGAGTAGAAATACACTTACATTGTTGACCAGAGAAATCAATCACATCATAGGCGTATTGGTTTGGAAGGAGCAATTAAATCACAGCACTATGGGAATTTGAGGTGGGCGGGCAGTTTTAAACACTTGACACCGGACTCTTGCGTATTACGCATAGAAAAACTCAATTTCGAGTTTACATTGAAAGTTGTTATGTCGAGTTTCACTGTAACAACTCTTTGATCTACATACACGTCATTTTTGTAGACACAAACGCGTAAGTAATGATTAATCGCTAAAATCAGATGATTCGGCTATACTAATTTGCGTCAGTAATAGTATGTCAGTATAATAAACCAACTCTGTATTGTTTACTTTATTTTATTTTATTATATTTTATTTGCTTATGCTTAAAGTAATAAAAACATGCTGTATGTAAGGAAGACTATTTTTATTCCATCAATTAACTTCTATGTAACAGTTCCAGCTGATTTCGCCAATTCTGGAAGGAGTTCTCATCTCCTCTTTTGGGATACCTTTAATGACTGCTTGCCAAATTTTTGACATTATCAAATCTTTTTTCTTCAGTTCTTTTTTATTTGAAGGAAAAGAAGCATAATATTACAAATATAGGGAAAGCCCCATATTTTAAATGCGACCGATTTATCGAGAAATTTTAAATAATCATCTATTTCAAATTAACAATGGCTCATTGCTGGTATATAAAAAACGGGAAGAAAGGCGCTGGTGTAAAAAACGCCTGGATTCTGAACATTTGGGGGTCAAATGAAAGCATGAGATTGACTGATTGAATCCAGGCGTGTCTTACACATATCAAGCCATTGCGCAGTATAACGGATGCCATAATTTCGACCCTTTTCTCCGTTATATCGAGAGATCTGCTATACAAGTTTTTTACAATATACCATATCGTAATAACTACTATACCAATTATTGATTAGCTTAAATGGCAGTTATTTATATCCCTCGATTTGAATTAGCACTTATTGAAAAAAGTAAGACTGTAGGACGTTATACGCGAGTGATAAATAATTCGCTTTGGATAACTAGATATTTTATGTTCTTTCAGTCTCATGGTTGTTCATAGGAAAGGTTTTAATGATAAAATAATTAAATTGCACGGCTCCTGCCTTTACCCGAAGACGAATCATCAATCCAACAAGTATCGTCACTACTGTTGAATGGAAAACAGATGTAACGAAAAATATATATATTTAAAGAATAAACTTCTGCACTCTCACTTCAAGCAACGCTGTCTCTTGCCAATTTACTCCTTCTTTAATGTAAATGTGTCACACCGCCTTCTCAAATAAAACCTATAATAATAACTAGTCGGAATAAAAGTTGGGGTTAAGTAGTACTAGGGGGGTTGTGAGAAAAAGCGTAAATAATAACTCATGTGATATACAACCTAATTAGGAATTTGTTATGAACAGCAGAAAAGAATCAGAATAGCTGAGCAGCAAGATCGCAACAGTTGGTGCCACATATCATAGTTAGGATATCAAAGGTAGAAGCTGATGATGTGCTATAGATTTGGAGATTCGTGATTAAGTTTTCGGGAACTTTGGTCTGGAGATTGATCAACACCAATATCCATATGCGATATGACGTTCACGGGCTAATCCATATCTCCCACCCCCTTCAATGTGCAGATTGATGTCAAAATGCCTATGCAGACTCGGCGAGTTGGCTCCACTGGTAAATGATTCGCATCGGGAATGAAAAAAAGATAGCTACTCCTTTGGTTGTAGGAAGTAGCAGGTTAAGAGCGTGTGATTAGAAAGGAGCATAATAATATGAGTTTTCGGGTTCTTTATTGAGTGATTTAGGAAAGATCTAATAACAAATCCAATTCACTTCTCTAGACAATGCTGGGAGTTATTGTTGTGGAGTTGTTGCTGTAACATTCCTTGTCAATCTATGTCTGATGAGGCTGTAAATAGATAGAAAGGAGTGCTCACACATACGTGTAAGATTAGACAGTACGTTGGGATTCAAGATTCAAGCTCTGGACGAATGTCACAGATAGATTGATCGATGCTTTGGCAATCACTTTTATTGCGTCATTAAGGACGAGCCTATCCAATCATGTATGCGTTTAAACATCAGTTCTATGCAACAAAACGTAAGTTACTTTCTCATTTCTTGGAGACAGTGTGTTGATATGTATTAGTTTTACTGATACACTTGATCCGATAAGGAAAGTGCGAAGGGTTTAATATTTACATGCGCGAATAGGCAAGACATTTTATTTACCGTTACTCATCTCTCCTGTTTAAATATTTATGCCATTCAAACAATCTTACTTCTTACAGGAAGGCATAATCTAATAAAGAGAACACAAGCAGAAATGTACAATTAGTGGGGCGGCGTAACCGTTAAATTACTGCGACCCGACATTTACATCCAATATTACGCCGCGCGTTCAATCGTGATAACAAGATTCCTGTTACCCGCCCAAGTTACATCATCTCATAGCTACCACCCCTACAAAGACAAGCCATACGCCTGCACAGATCATCCTCTTCGTCGTCAGGTTCTTTGTCGAATGCTGTCTCTTCGTAAATGGTCAGCATCGGAGGGGACCTCTTCAAACAACTTTTGCGGTATTTTCTCATTCCGTAAGGCATTATCGATCGACGTCGTTGAACGATAGACAATTCACACTTTAACTTTTTTCTTGCCAGGATTTGCAATCTCTTTCGTACTTCTTTTTGTGGACTTCTTCTAACCGCATCGGCTTTTTTATAAATATCGGCTTTAATAAACATTTTGTGTATGTGTAAATTTTGAGAAAGTGAACCTTTTATATACGAATATGTATATATGCATTGTGGACCCACAGCCCCCGGCGAGGGGTCACAAAGTCTGCATATTTGCCAGCCACTCAGTTTTGAGCTTTGATATATCAATTCGCTTGTGTCCCAAGAGTAGCTGAGACGCGATAGGGCGTTAAGATTAATATTAATCGTCTTTGACCATAACTTGCCCAAGCTAAATTTACAAGAAAAAAAAAAGAAAAAAGAATCCAATCGGGCATTTTATACTCGACGCTATTCAAAATTCATAACACCAATATTTGACTGTATTAGTATGTGTTGTTGAAATAATTTGGTCCATCGGAAATTCTGGATTAAAAGTAATAGCAAACAGTGTACTAAATATAAATACGAATTTATCTCTACTCGTTTTATTATTCACCATTTGTACATGTTAGTATTAGATGAGATGAATTTAAAGGGCTTAATCAATAAATTCAGTATATTATTTAGCATAATAACGCTGACACGAACGCGAAGGGTATTTCAAAGCAATTGGTTATTTCGAGGTGCGCGGGGAGAAGGGATCACTAGTAACTAAGGGATCACGCAATGATGTCACATGTTACTAATCAGATGATCCTTTTATTTATGCTCAACAGGTCATCTGCGCGACGATCAAGTGTCACTGTTTGAAAACTCATACACAACAGCTTCCAGAGTATTGACAAAAGCACAAATTGTGTAAATCTATATATACCATTGCATTAGAACTTTAACTGACAAGATCCGAATTCATGTTGACGAATTGTTCTCGCATAATAATGTTTAACAAATCCCGTGGTTTTCTTTTTTGATATACTCAATCTATACTTTACACGCCATCAAGGGTCTCGATGGGCGAAGGTTTTGGGTTATGGATCAGCCGAATTAGCAGTTGGGGAAGTACTTGTTAAAAAAATAACATTTTCCTGGCACAGCTAATCATTACAAGCCTAATTGTCAATAGGATTCTTTCTAGTCTAATCGATTGATTATAATAAATGCCACTTTGATGGTTATTAAGAAATATTGTACACTCCCGTAGCAAAAGTTACCGACCACCCTGTCGATCAATTAGTAAAACATATGAAAAGTCTATCTTTTCGAAATTCAGTATTGGCGTTATTTACTAAG